CAGTATATTACTTATTAAAAAGAAATGGAGTAAAATAAGCTGATTTTTTTCTCTTTTCTCTTTTTTTTCTCACCAGATCCACAGAATACAGGATGTTCTGATGATTTTTCTCCGGCCCTCATGAAATGCCGCTGTTTGGATGCTCACAGCAAGACCGTGGACTTGTGTGTTAGAATATTGGACGAAATGTAAGATTTTTTTCTGCTCATTGTACCTTGAAAAAATGTCAGAACCTCCTTTGTCACTTGACGTAATAAATCACCTTCAATCAGCCGTAGATRAATTAAGACAAATTACGTTATCTGTCAATGTAAACTCTTTCCAAAATTCTCCTGATGAGATAATTTCTCAGGAAAGTACTTTAAATGAAAGACAGCAAACTGTGGATTTTTTCCACACTTTGGAAGAAGCAATTTCAAATCTTCCTCTATTTGATCTGCAAGCTGAAATAGACAGATTACGGGAAATCCCTTTGCCTGTAAACTTGACACATTTCTCCTGACGAGATAATTTCTCAGGAGACTCATCCGGAGGAAAGATCTCAGACTGGTGAATATTTTCAACTTTTAGAGGAAGCTGTATCAGATCTTTCTAGGCAAAATTTACTTTTTCAAATCCAGGCAGATGAAAACTCTTTACAAAATTTGTCTCAGAGTGAAAATGCTCTACACGAGCTTAATCAATTCGTTTCAGGATTCGGAGCTGTGCAGAGACTCAGATGGCGTTCGTCAATACGGAGCAGGACCCTCAACAGAACAGAATCAAAATGAGCAAATTTCTACTCGTGAACGATTTAATAACCGTGAAATTTGACAACGGCTTTTTTTTACCTCGTTCAGATAATGCACCGAATTTAGCCGAATATTACACAAATGTTATGAGTATTCTGTCAAATCTCGCTGGCAGGGTTGAATCTTTATCCCATAGAAATGACCTTATTCAGATTGAGTTATCTGGTGAAAACGTTTCCCATAATGCTACGTTCCACTTCGATGAAAACCCAAGCAACATTTTACCTGAATTTACAGATTTTCTGGACCGTTTAATACAGTCCGATGGACAAATAGATTCAGWCGGTGATTTAGAATTCATAGTTCAAATTGTTAAAAATCTGAGGGGAGGAATCAAGAGGAAAGCTGAAAAATCTTTGGACGCTGAATTAAAAAATAAAAAGAGAAAACATCTTTTCATCGTCCCTGAACGAAATGATCATCTGTGTTTCGTGATTAGCTTATCACACACTCACAATCCACATTTAACAGATGACAAGGCTGTAAATTTTGTCAGAACTTTACAATATGAAGCCGGCATTACAGATCCATCACCTTTAACACTTTCTGATATTTGCAAATTCGAGAATATTCTGAACCGAAAAATTGTTCTGTTTTTTTTCGCGTTTCCGATCATACAGCCATTCAAAAATTTGAAACATTTTCAGACAGTCTTGTCCTTTGTGGCTCCTCCCCCAGTTTACCCGCCCGGACACTGGTGGGTCTGGAGAGGAGTCGATGCCTCTTTGTGGATCTGGGCCGATGGGTCAGACTCTCAGTCACAGGAGGGGGGGGTGTGAGGCAGCTCTGTGAGTCAGGCCTACAG